AGAACTGTAACACACATACACAGTGTGATGAAGTCAGTAACTTCTTATTTATAGGACATGATTACATATTGGCTGGGTATTTCTATGACATACAGTAGGGGAGAGCGGGGTCAGTTGGGACACTTTTGTATTGACACTGAATAACCACAAAATAAAAATAATAGTGATGAAAATAATTTGATCTCTGAACAGATACAGGCGTCTGCTAACAATCAGGTCTTTTAGAGCCCAACCTAAACGTGAAAGCAAGGAGTGCTTTTTCCAAAAATTCTGACTGCCCGGGACAGGTGGGACACCGGCTGAAAAAATGTACATTGAAAAAAAAAAAAAAAACGGTCTAAATTTAAACACCTCAGCTCATGGTGGATTACACAGTTTCTTTCTACCTTGCTAAATAGGCGGCACTGTCCGACCCCCCTCTCCATTATAACAGACTAAACAATGAATCAGAATAAAAATCAGCTGATTAATCAATAATGACAGTAATCAGTATTTTTATAGTATTAACACTCACCGTATCTCGGATGACCTGTATTCCTCTGACTGCTCTGTCGACCTTAAAATGGAGTCTGAACACACTGACTTTAGACTTTCGGGTTTTCCTCCTTTTGGCACCTCGAGACACACACACACACGCCCAGGGAGCAGTCATGGCTCACAGCTTGTCTTTCAAAATAAAGATTTGTGGTCCAGCCGGTTTATCAAGGAACATTCTCTGTTCACCTCACAGTGGCAGGACTATCATACAGTTTGTAGACATGCACCAAGCAAGGAAAATATAAAAGAAGGAAAGGTCATGATGTCAGTGACAGCGTACGATGAGCCAGACTTTGGTGTCAGTTCTATTGGAGTCACACTATAATCCATCACATCTTTGCTCTTTCAGCTTTGACTGAAAAATCCAGATTAAAAGCACACCTCACGTGATCCTGACTGATGTTTTATATCTAAATGTGTGCGTTTGTTTAACCTGTTATTGGTCTCCAAACAGATCATGGCTCTGTCTCAAGCCCCTGGTTGTCATATATCAGCTCAGGAAGGACCCAAATGCAGAGCAGCAGGCAGGTTGAAGGGTTAAACAGGAAACTAGAAACAAAAGGGTGATTAAAAGTCCAAAAGAAAGAGGAACCAAAAACTAAAGTGAAAACCAACCAGGATAACATGATGAACACAGGGATGAGCTCAGGAAAGAAACCCAAAACAGAACACAAGAGACCAGAAGCAGGAAACGGTGCAGGGAACGACACCATGAACACGGGGATGAACACAGAAGAACTGACGAGGAACAAAGTGAAACACACAGGTACATATACACAGAAAACTAATCACAAGAGCGAGACACAGCTGGAGTAGGTGGACACAGGCAGAAGGAGGGGAATGGGGATTGGCTGACAACAAGGGTGTGGTGGGGAACACTCGGGTGGAGCAAACAAGACTTGAGCCGTTTCTCAATATGCGCTCTTGTGCGGACTTGTGTTCTTGTGACACGTCATCAGTCACAGCCCAAGTACTGGATGTGTTCTCGCCACGCCCCTTTTACCGGGGATGCGTCGGAGCAGACTTGTGTGGACATAAGACAGCCAGGTATCCCAGCATGCATTTCGCAACAATCATTGGAAGTGGTGAGTGAGGGAAAGGCGCACAATTGTAAGTCATAATTACCGATATGTGACTGTTGTTTTGTCACGGAACGTAGTGTTTTCATGCGTAGTTTTAACTTCAAACCCGTGGTCGATGTATTAATATAGAGCCCACTTGAATGTGAGGTCCCGCTAGATGACAGCGGTGTCAGCGCTCATAGATAATTAACATGTGTATGAGCGCTCAGGCTGCCCCACCGAGAGCAACCTCTCTTGGGTAGTCCTTTTAAATTCGTCGCTGATATCTCTGTAGTGGTTAAACTGCTTTTGTTTTTTCTAGGTGAACCAAGTCTCCATAAAAATGTAGACACAAAGCATAATGATGAGACAAATGCAGTGATGGACAGTAACAAAGTATATTTACTCAAGTAGCTACTGTACTTAAGTACAAATTTGATGTACATGTACTTTGGGTATTTACATTTTGTGCTACTTTATACTTAGAGAGAAATACTGTACATTCTACTCAAGCTACATTTATTTGATAGCTATAGTTACTATTCAGATAGTTTGTTTTATATGTTGTAAGTTTCATATTTACAAGTTGATGTGTGTTGTTATAGATTAGACTAGTAAACCAGTGACAGGTGTTAAAATTAGTTCTACCATGACAACATTTAAATGCTGCTTACATGTAGCCTATGTGTAAATGGATCAATTAATATTCAATACATATTCATGTGTATGATGATTACAACACTTGAAATTGGGTCACTCTGCATCATGAGTACTTTGAACTTTTCATTTGAAGCAGGCCTACATTTTGCTGACAATACCCAGATACTTTTACTCAAGTCAGATTTGCAGCACTTTGACTTGTGACTGAGTTTTTGTTCTTTGTTGTGATATTACTACTTTTCCTGGGTACTTTGTCCACAACTGGACAAACATATCAAACAATAGAGACATTCAAGCATCACACGTCTCATCCTCCGCCTCAGTCTCCGCTGTCTTTCTGGGATCTGCCTCCTCAGCTGGGCAGCCTCCTCTTCAGCCTGCAGGTACAGAAATCCTACTGCAATAACTGCACCAAGACGCCTTCTCCGATCCATGTCAGTTATTGATTTTTGATTTCCAACTCGCCAATGCTCACGATCACAATAACCACCAACACTCCACAAACTTTTCCCCCTGCAGCTGGCTTTTGATTACACATGATCAGAAGCCAGCTGCAGGGAAAAGGTTTTATGAGACATTTTATGAAAATATCTTGGCTATTTATATGTTTTTGTGTGTCAGTTATATATGTTGAAACCTTAAAAACATATACATATTAATTTCTTACAATGACAATGAAAAGACGCAGGGCTGGGCTGTGTTTATATTGTTTTATTCTAAATGCATGTATACAACACAGTACAACAGCCAAGGCGAGCGGAGGTGGTGACATCATCAAGTTCGCTGCTGTTCCAAAAGCAGAAATGACTGTACTCTTGTCCTCATGTCCTCATGTTCTTGGGAAGTCCAGACTCTCGCGTGGACTTGCCAAGTCCGAACTGCTGAACTTGAGTATTGAGAAATGCGTCATATGTGTGTCTCCATTAAATTAGAGCCAATATGGCAGCTTGAAAAGGTGTGTTTACAGATGGGGTTTGAAAGGGGGAGGAGTCAAGATTGTGACTGTGGTGGGAATGTTTTATTATTGTTATTGTTTTGGACTATTGTCTTTTCCAAAACTTTCAATGATTTGCTAATTCTATGACTTTTCCAGGCCTGGAAAATGTGTATTTATTTGAATCACCTCACTATTATAGAGTATATACACAGACACACACAAGCATACAGACTCACACACACACACACACACACACACACACGCACACACACACACACACACAAACAGGAAAGCATAACAGGTCCCCTGTTATCAAGGTCAGATTTGATGGTGTGACAGTTTGATGAAGGAGGACAGCTGTCTCTATACATGTTGTGATGCTGTCAGCTGTAATCCATCTTCACTTCCTGTAGACATGAACACAACAACAGTCGTCTTCACATCAACTTAAACACATGATCTCAACAAGCTTCCCTCTGATCTGATTGGCTGACTGTTCTCTCTGTCTGTCTCTCTGTCCTCTCCTGAAGACTGTCACCATTCCCCTCTTTGAGCCACTGAGAAGGTCTGAGGTTTACAGGAAGTACTGGATCTTTGCTCTGATACTAACTGTGTTTAATATAATACTGCTGAAACCAGCATGGACCCACTCCAACCCTCTACTGACCTCAGAGTCTCCAGTTTACAGTGTGGACTCTCCTTCAGATCACACAGCAGCTTCACATCTGAATCCTGCAGCTTGTTGTAGCTCAGGTCCAGCTCTCTCAGATGGGAGGGGTTGGACTTCAGAGCTGAGGCCAGTGAAACACAGCTGATCTCTGACAAACTGCAGCTCCACAGTCTGAATGAAGAATAAATGATGTAGATAAAAATCATTAATAATACAATCAGATGTGTTCAGGTGTTAAATGTGTAGCTCAACATTACTATGTCCTGATCAATGAGCTTTGCCCTAAACTGAGTAGAGTGACTTTGTCATTGTGTTATTGTGCTGATCCCAACAGGATGCAGGTTAAAGACTGGAAAATACAAAAAGTGAAAAACAGCTCTCATAAATATCATTGACAACGTGCTGCTACTTCAATACTTCAACTCATGTTGTGCAGCCAAACACAAATCACTTATTTAAAGAATCATGAGGGTAAATTTAAGCGCTACCTAACTTACAATTATACTATTGGTCGGCTCAGCTCAAAATGATGTCAGACTGGTTTACGTATAGGCAAGAAGCTTTATGGCTTAGTCTTGAGTCTCTAGCATGTTATCCCAGAAGACTTAAATCCCTACCTTTTATCAATAATATAGACCAAATAAATTCCCTTGATCACAACATAATCATTTACAACACATTACTGGTGTGGAAGGATGTGAGAAAACACTTAGCTATCCCGTCTGTCATTTCTGTTGAGTCTCCCCAAACGTTTAACCCTGATGTCCTGGTGCAGATCAGGAGTATTGGTTTGACGGGGTGGTCGTCCAATGGCTGACTCAATTTTGTGGGCCTGCTGATCTAGGATTCTCTTAAATTGTATAAAATTGAGCAAATTAGAAGATTTTAATATTCCCCACAAAGACTTTATCATGTTCATGATGTGTCATACGGATTACTGTTTATTTATCATGTTGATCTGTTCTGTACGACATCTATTGCACGTCTGTCCGTCCTGGAAGAGGGATCCCTCCTTAGTTGCTCTTCCTGAGGTTTCTACCATTTTTGGGGAGTTTTTCCTTAACCGCTGTGAGGGTCCTAAGGACAGAGGGATGTCGTATGCTGTAAAGCCCTCTGAGGCAAATTGTAATTTGTGATATTGGGCTTTTTAAATAAAATTGATTCATTGAAATTGTATCTCCAAATTCATTATTCTACAGAGTCTCTTTCAAGGAAAAATATGATTCGTTTCAAACTGTCTGAGTTAGAAGATATATTGGTTTCAGCCAGGTCTCCCAAGGGTGTAATTTCAAAGTTTTATACTCTGTTGTTTCACTCTGACTCATCTGTGTATGATTCCCTGAAGCTGTTGTGTGAGCGTGACCTGGGGGTAACATTTAGCTCTGCTGATTGGACTAAAATCTGAAAGAGGATCTTTCTGAAATGCACTTCTTTTTCTATACATGAACAAATTTTAATTTGTTTTATGGGATTTATTATACACCTGTCCGCCTCCAGGAAATGTTCCGTAACACTTTACAATAAGGTACACAAAATTAGAGTAGTTACTGAGGAACTAATGAGGAATGAATGATGAACTAATGAGTAGTTACTGAGGAACTAAGGTACATAAAATTAGAGTAGTTACTGTAGTGTAAAAGTTAATCCCTAATCAAGTAAAAGTGTTATACTGCATAAGTTGATTAAGAGACTAAAATCATATAACCATCATATAACCATGTCTTATGTATAAGTTCCTATAAAACGGATTGAGGTGCATCTATATGTGTTAAAGCATTGTTATACATGTCAAAGTGTTCATGATACAAAGTTATGAGCTCACATTGTATTCACACACTGAAGAACACACATATAACCTATCATGTTCTGTTTAATGATAACACACACACATTCAAATGTTTGTATTACCTGATGCACATTTAAAGGTTCACATTGCATAAGAGCACTAGGGACTGCATAAAGAAAGTCCCTAAAATTCACATGTGTTTTAAAAATAAAGTGAAAGCAAATCCAGATCTAAGGGTGGGAGATTTGGGAAATTCCAGGCCCAAAGTGAAAGTGATTACACCATTAAAAACGGGCCTGTTCATGATTGGACAAAAGGAAAAAAGGTTGCCACCAATAGATTTGGATCTGAGTGGGAAGGATTAATGAAAAGAGGTGGAGACTCTACCCAGTCTCCACCAGCATAAAAGCGAGCGCACTAAGAGCGAGTTTTCAGTCCAGCTCCGGGGCTTGACTCATGAGTTGTATGTGTTGAGGCTTGTGAACACATTAAACTCGATTGCATCGGACTCTGCCTGTCTCCAGTGTTTCTTTGAGTGTTAATTAGATGAACCCAAGGTACTAGATTGACATCAGAGGACAACTGAGAAGCAACGCTGAGGACAAGGTCGGGAGCCTCCAGGCCCAATTCCAGGCACCGATTTTTGCCTCTTCATTACTGAGGAACTAATGATGAACTAAGTATTAGTTAATGGTCAGTTCTTCAGTAACCCCTGATCAAATTTCATAGAGTTAATCACGACTTAATAATTAGTGAACTAGTTACTTCATCAGTACAGAATCATTACTCAATAACCTGTCCATTAGTTAACCTTTGTCCTAAAGTAAAGTGACATAATCAGTAGTCTCTCATTACTAATAGTTAATTCCTCATTAGTTCCTCAGTAACTACTCCTCTGAAATTTGATCATGAGTTACTGAAGAACTGACCATTAACTAATAAATAGTTCATCATTCGTTCCTCATTCGTTCCTCAGTAACTACTCTCATTTTGTGTACCTTATTGTAAATTGTTACCAAATGTTCGCCAAAAGCTCAAACCTTTGTTTTAAAAGGTACAACACACAAAGGTATATTTTTTCACGTGGTCTGGTCGTGTCAGTGTCTCTAAATTTTTTGGAAAGGGTTCATTCTGTAGTTCAGGAGGTTACGGTCAAACGGTTGTCAGTGACTCCTTCATTCTACTTGTTGCACCATATTTCAGACAATTTCTTTGATAAGGATGTTAAATATCTGTTAACAATTCTTTTAAACTCTGCTAAAAAGTGCATCTGGCTGTGATGGTCTGCTCCACAGGTCCCCACGGTTGGCATGTGGTTATTGCAGATATCAGCTGTGTTTCCTCTGGAGAAACTGAATAATCTTACCTAGAATTGTGGACTTTTGTCAATTCTGGTACTTTGAGAGCAAGTCTACCGGAGTCAAATTACCTGTATGTACACACGTACTTGGCCAATAAAGCTGATTCTGATTCTGACTCTGATAATTCAGGCATTTTCTGGCGATTTGGGAACCAATAAAATTTTTCCTCCAGAAACTATGACCTGCTTATTCCCAGAGGGTAGTAACTGATTGCTCCATCTGTTGATGTCAATGTCACATTTCTGTACAATCTCTTTCTTCAAAACTTATTAGCTTGTTCATTCTTAGTTGTAATAACCTGCAGCATTTGTTCTTTTGGGATGTTCTTGTTTTTGCATGGATTTTCTCCTCTATACTTTTCTGTCTTGTCTGTGTTTATGTCTTGGTGTTGTTTATGTTGGTTGGTTTTGTTTGTTCATATAGGTGTGTGCTTTATTTGAAAAATCTAATGAAAAGAAATGAAAAAAAGGAAAATATGAAAGAGCTGATAATGAAGTAGCTTATTGATCCAACGGTCTTGATTAATTTTGCCCCAGGCTGTTTAATACTGGGTCTCAGTATCAATCCCTACCTGGGCCACTCCTAGGGTTGCTTCTGGGCCAGATATNAATTTTGCCCCAGGCTGTTTAATACTGGGTCTCAGTATCAATCCCTACCTGGGCCACTCCTAGGGTTGCTTCTGGGCCAGATATATCCTGCAGGCTGCCAAGTGAGTAAGCCTGGTTTAAAGGTTTGGAGTGAATTTTCAAGCCATGTTTCCTACTTAAATTAAAGGTATGCTATGCAGGATTGTTGGTTACAGTTTGTAAATATACTTGCCAGTGAAAGTGAAAATAAAAGCCAACCCCAGGTTCATTCTTGTTTGCATTTCGTCTCACTATATTGGCATTTTCCACCATAGTATCGCTTTGATTCCTTCTGCTAACAGTCTGGAACCTGGTCACCACCTTTTTATAAAGCCCTGACCTCACCTGAGCGCTGTGAGAGTACACGCCCAGGAACTTCCCAAACACAGAAAAAAAGAAGAAAGTAAGAAAACACAGGCAGAGGGCAGAGTCTCTGCAGATAAATACACCACCACACACTGAGAGTGGCTCATAAGTGATGATTGAGAGTGATTATTTCTGTATGAGTCTATACACTGTTTTGAAGGAAGATCCTGCAGAGTTTATTTTTAAGGTTTTAGCTCCACATTGCTCTGCCACAGTCAATGGATTAAACCACTGAACAAGACAAATAGACTTCATTGTGGATCAGTATAATATCAGCCTGATGTCTGCAGTTTAGTGTCAACACAACTTTCACATCATAATAATCTCAGCACAGAAGTAAAAAATGGTGTCTGACCTCAGAGTCTCCAGTTTACAGTGTGGACTCTCCAGAAAATCACACAGCTGCTTCACATCTGAATCCTGCAGCTTGTTGTAGCTCAGGTCCAGCTCTCTCAGATGGGAGGGGTTGGACTTCAGAGCTGAGGCCAGTGAAACACAGCTGATCTCTGACAAACTGCAGTCCCACAGCCTGAATGAAGAATAAATGTAGATAAAAATCATTAATAAAACAATCAGATGTGTTCAGGTGTTAAATGTGTAGCTCAACATTACTATGTCCTGATCAATGAGCTTTGCCCTAAACTGAGTAGAGTGACTTTGTCATTGTGTTATTGTGGATCATCATGATGTCAGCCTTCTACAGACATCATCCAAATGTCGCCACAACATTCATTCACCTATTCATATCAACACAGATTAACAACATGCTGCTGATCTCAGTCAAGTCTGTATTTAGAGGATCAATATCAAATCAGACACGTTGGACTGAAACACTGTTCATTTATTCATTTCTTACATGACCTTCATACTGTATTTGTATATGGAATAAAAAGGAGAGGGACACATTTGTTCAAGTTTGTTCAACAGCCACATGCACATTAAAAGAGTTATTGGTGGCAGTAAATATTCCTCCTGTCCATACTCAGTGTCACACAAAATATGTGTCTTCACAATAAAAGTCCCACGTTGTTTTCTTATTTTAGCTTTGTTTAGCTTTTATTGTGAAGCAGCTACAGCAGAAAGTAGGGTCCATGTCATTGGTCCGACATCCCGTTGTTCCGATATGTGATTATACTAGGCTATACTGTATTTATGTACCATAGAGGATCAGCAAACGCAACAAAAGTAGGCTACTGGTCGAGATAAAAGTGTCATAGAGAGGAGAGAATGAAACACCATAACCTCCTGTTATTAACTCTGGGGTCCGGGTTGTGTGGGGAGCTCTCCGCGGTGCTGAATGGCTCCCGACGGGCGTATTTCTGCCTTGATGGTGTGCCGCGACCGGCTCTGGGTCAGTTGGGAAAGGCTTGAGGCAAAGCAGGCTCACGGCTTATGTGTTTGCCACTTTCTTTTTCATTTTAACCCACACCATGATCTTTTCCTAACCCTAACCAAGTGGTTTTTGTGCCTCAACCTAACCAGACCTTAACCACAGGGCATCATGATGATTTTGAAACAACAGGACTTCGGAACAATGGGTTTAATATGGTCGGAACAATGGGATGTCGGACCAATGGGCAGTTCCCAGAAAATATTGGGTTTGCATCTGCAGTGACTTTATACAAATCTCATCCATCTGACAGTGAACATGAAACGGTAAAATAAGGCAGATATCTGAAAGTACAAACAGCAACGCAGGAGAGAAACTAAACTTCAAACCACAGAGATTCAGTTAAAAGATACAAAACTTGTGAACACACAGACACTTTGAAAACTCTGGGCTGCTGCACAGACACCAGTTGA